CACGGGCACTTAAAAATGCTGGGAGGATACTTGGAGTTTTTCATGAATCCCACTCTAGCAACCACATATGTAAGGTTGAAGAAGGAACTTTATGAACTAATCCATGAAAAGGTATGTAACATTTGCTCTCTGACAGTTTGGTTTTTTAGGTTTTCAGGATTGATAGAATATATTATTATTGATGGAAATTCTTTTACATAAGAATCACTCGTAAAGACCCTTCCTACAAGGATTACATAACATTAGATAATATTCAAACTAAAATTAAGAAACCCAATAGTATAGATAGTCTTTTCTTATCCTAACTACAATTCTACTCATAATCTAAACCTTCCCATCAGTCTGAGCATGTGAACCTCGTGAAAGTTTGTTGATTCGCATTTATAAATTGCACCTTGTATACTTGAGAGATGCCATTGTTCTCATGTTGTGACAACATAAAAGAGTAGATATTCCTTGACACAATGAATAAGGGAATTTACCATACTATTGGTACTATGATGGAATGTGTGTGTGTGTGTGTGTATATATATATATATATATATATATATATATATATATATATATATATATATATATATATATATATATATTCTGAGTACTGACTCTGTTACAATGTAGTATCTCTTCATAGCTACTTTCTCAGCCTACTGAAACACAGAGTCAATACCGCCCCACTGGGGCTCAAACCCATGACCACCTCCCATTTGGGAGAGCCACTTCATGCCACTAGACCAGAAGGTCATTGGCATGATGGAATGTATATTATTATTGTTGAAAATTCTTGTAAAAAAAGACATAAAACCCTTACATAACATTGGATAACTAGGATTCTAACACAATAGCATGGATAGTCCTATTCTGACTAAAGATCCAACACATTCTTACTTGTACTCTAAAAAACATAATTGTTTTAAGGTTTCTCTCAATTCCGGTCAAGTGAGGAGCAGCACTTTAATTTCTTCCATCTGTTCATCCTTTCTGTGCATGCCAGTGCAAGTTTTGTGCAGGCTTATTGTTTAAGTGGAAATTTCCCAATGATGAATTCACCTTTTGTCTTGGTACAGCTTCTGAATCCTAAGTTAAACCTAGGAAATCATGATGAGCTCATATCAGCAGTAAGAATGCTGGTTTCAGAGGATCAATGTGAAGGTCGATTTGTGTTTGGGCGTCAGATACCATCATCTGCCATCAAGTCTAGAAAAGATGCAGAAGCAGGCATGGTCTCGAGTAAGGGTAGTGGCGGTGATAATCCAAAGTCTCATCTCCAAACGCTGCTTGTCCGAGCCGGACATCAATCTCCCAGTTACAAGATTACACAACTAAAAAACAATAAATTCCGAGCTGTTGTAATGTTCAATGGGTTGGATTTTGTTGGGCAGCCTTGCGGTAGTAAGAAAGAAGCAGAAAAGGCTGCTGCCTCCGAAGCTTTGCAGTGGTTGACTGGTGAGACCACTGAGACCCAGTCTTCCCAGAAGACTGTTGAACACATGTCTGCAATTCTAAAGAAAAGCAAAAAGAAACAACTTTCTGCTTCAAGGTGGAGGTGATGTGTATAAAACAAACTTAAAATTATCTTACAGCCATTTGCTCCTGATTGGGTTGAATAAGCATCTCGGCAAATCTTGCGAGGTGTGACCTTTTGCCTGCTTTGGAGGCGGCAGGGCAGGCAGAATAGAGAATCCCACATTTGCTAGTACTGAAACTAACAAAATCTAACTTGGCAGCACCATACATATTTATATACATTGAATCCCATAGAAGTGACTTGAACTACTCCAAGTGGTGGCAGTTAACTTTTTATTCTGTCCTCGGAAACTGGCCTTACTGGCATGGGCAAACTAACAAAAGATAGACCGAGGCACCGAGCAGGTACACACGCAAGTCTGATTCTTCTTTCATGCTGCTTCCTGTAAAGCCTGCCTGTTGAACCTGATCTCCAGTTGTGGAACTCACAACTTTATTCTACTTATGGGATATGATGCAACTGTGCTAGTAAGTATTCTTTGGCTGTCTCATTTCATTGTGTGAGAAAGGGAGGGGATATTGTAGCAATATATTGTAGCACTAGATAGATCAGTAATAGTTGATAGATTTCATTTTCATTTATTATATGGACAGGCAGTAACTTATGTATAAATATATAGATAGAGAGGAAGACAGTATTCAATGCTTTTAATTTCGTTGGTTGGGTTGGTTTACAGTCCTATGTAGATTAACATTGTGCGATTCATAATCTTTGCCTTAGTCAACCTTGATTTCCCCCGGCCCGTCAAGTTTGTGGGGGTAAATTATGGTGACTCAACTGATTAATAGATGTTAGATTCGTTTTGAGAGATTGTTTCTATACTGTTGCTGAGACTTAATCTTTGATCTCTGTGATTTGTTGAGCTATTCTTGTGGACCTCTTTTTCCATTACTAATTAGATAAATAGTAAGGTTTATTATTGACTAGCGAAAAATACATGTACTCTTATTTTCTACCCTCAATTTTTACTCCACACACAAAATCTTGATGTAGACACTTGTATTGGAACTCACATAAAAAAAGTAGTCAATTAGTACTTGTCACATCAGGGAGTATGATTTGGAAGTCTATGTAGTAGAACTCGTGACTAATAGGGATGTGATACAAAGACTCATAAAACATTTATTATTATTATTATTATTATTATTATTATTATTATATTAAATATTAAATAATTTTATATTAATTAATTAATTAATTACTAGACAATAGTATTATATACGAATTAATTATATTGTGACATAAGTTTTTACAAATTTTCTTTTACTAATAATAAGTTATAAAGTTTATTTATTAATATTGAATTAATTATGATAAAAATTAAATGAAATATTTTTTTATTTAGATCTCATATTTCAACCAAAGAATACGAATGCAATAATTAATTTATCACAAATTAAGTGTCTATCTTAAATTTAATAAATGAGATAATTTATGCCAAGACGATGAATAATAAATCATATAACTAAACAATAATTAATATATTAACGAGTGATAAATAATTAATCAATCACCAATTACAAATTTAGTTGAAGGAATGTTCCTTAATCTAAAGCTCTCAAAGGTCATAATAAATTGATAAAAGAACATAAACAAAACAAAACGTCAAGATGGCCGAGTTGGTCTAAGGCGCCAGTTTCAGGTACTGGTCCGAAAGGGCATGGGTTCGAATCCCATTCTTGACAAAATTTTTTTTATGTTCAAACATTTCTAATTCACATGCAACGATTGTTCTTATAAATAAAGCCGTTAAAATTTTGCTTCCCGGGCCTATCCGTCCTGTCTCGGGCTATTATTTAACAGATATATTTATATTTTTTAAAATGTATTTTGGTGGTCCTGTCTCGAAACGTGTAAGGTGTGCACGATTCTAATTTATAATTTTTATACTGTAGATTTATTAAATCTATACTGTAGATTCATAATTTCTAAATCGTAAATTTATAATTTAAATACAATATTCATAATTTCTATACGGTAGATTCATAATTTTTATACTGCAGATTCATAATATCTGTACTGTAGATTCATAATTTCTGTACTGTAGATTTATAATTTATAAACTGTATAGTTATCAAATTATGAACATATAGTTCTGTGATTTGTGAATACAGAGTTCAACAATTGGGAATATGAACATAAAAAATTATGAACATATACCTCTATAATTATGAACATATATTTATTCTTCTCAAAAGGTTGAATCACCAACCCCATGGGCCCCCCACACCCCGGTCCGACAGAGCATCTGGGAAGATTCATAATTTCTATACTGTAGATTCATAATTTAAATACAGTAGATTCATAATATCTAAACTGTGCAATTGTGAAGAGAGAATGGAATGTTAGAATGCGAAAGGAAACCGCCTAACGCCATTAACAGCAATGAAAAAGGAATTTTTTTTTTAAAAAAATTTGGAATGGCATCGTTTTGCAACAGGTGCACACAGTTGCACATCATAATTTGCCTCCTGCCTCGGTGTAGGTAAGGAGTCGGTGCATGACTACTACAGCTCGTCAGGCCAGTTGAGGATTTGACCCGCGGTCAGCTATTATTAAAAGATATTTATAATTTTTAAAATGTATTTTGGTTGTTGAGAACATGCAAAAGCTAACATGTACGGATATCAATTAGGCTAGCTTGCTCAATTTCGCCATTTCGGGTTAGTCCAGTCCAACTTATTGGTTTTTATTTTATTTACTTTTTATTTTTTTGTTCGGGTGGTCCTAACCCTAAACCTCGGGCTATCAGACTTATCGGGTGGACTGAACTAGTGAACTAAAATTAAAAATTGAGAGAGGATATGCACATTTAGAGTTGTCAAAACTAGCCCAACCGACGTAGATTGGGCTCGTTTAGTTCGGTTTTTAAGCGGACCGAATTGTATATTTTTCCAACTTGCTCGAACAACCCAACCTATTTAGCCCATAGGGGTACCTGGGTTATACAAGTTGGCTTGTGTAACCCACAAGCCAACCCGTATAACCCATCACCCTTACCGACACCCCAAGTTTATTATTTAATTTAAATATGATTTGTATTAGAATTTAAAAGTATTATTCTACAATAAAAAATAACCTTAAATGGTTCGGACTATCAAGCTAGACCACAAAATTTCAAGTTAGTTCATGCCACTAGACTTATCGGGCTAAAATATTTTAAGCCTAACCCTAAAATTTTTCAATTTTATCGGGCTAGCCAATTGAACTCCGAGTAGGATTGAGATCCCTACTAACATGTATTTTGGAAAAGATAGAAAATACAGTACACCTTTATGTGCAACTATATGGCACTGCTATGCAAGGTTAGAAGAGTAACAAAATTCCAAAGATTGCCATTCACACACTGCTTGAGAACATGCAACATAGATCGATTGTATTTTCACAGGTATTCTTTATAATTAATTTTAATTTTAATTTTTAATTTTTTTTTAATTTTTTTTTTTAATTTTTTTTGTCAATAAAAGCTATCAAAATATCAAATTATGTCTACCATATCATATCTCATATCATAAACTGACCCAAATGTAAGATCTAATGTGTACACAAAACCACAAGATTATCACAAAAAGAATACAATTTCTATTCTCAATTGCAATGCTTCAAGTCAAAAGTGGAGCAATATTACCAAAAATTTTGTATCTCTCTAAGAAGCTAACCGCGATTATCATATCTTCACGGAGCTCGATCAAAGGGCCGAGTATCATTGTAACAAATATCCCAGACTGCTTCAATGGCATCCTTAGCAGCAGCTTCTGAACAGTAAGGGTTACTTTTCACGGACTTCATCGCTCTTCGCTTCACACAATCTTGCTCGTGGCCACGCATCTTCAGGTATCCTCGCAGCAACTCCCGTTTGAAATGGCAGTCGCCACTGAGATGGTTAGCTCTAATCTCACTACACGCGTGGTGAGCACAATCGGCCCAGTTCAGGTTTGCGGTCTGGCATTCGTCGTATGCATGAATAAGCTCGTGTTTGATGACCTGGCTTACCTCGTCTTGCATGGTCAAGTGGTTGCTACATATTACTATTCCTTTCCCCTGGACATAACCGCCGCTAATCTTGCCATCACAATGGTCGGCCTTTATGAAATTGTTGCTGATCTCACAACCGCCTTTCTTCAGATGTTCCATCAAGAACTTCACCGTTGGAGTTTGGAGACTCTTTTGAATCATGTTTTGACATTCCTCCACCGGCATCCCATCCTTAGAAGTAGAACCAATGCCACTACTAGTCTCGTCCTCCATTTCTATCGCTCCTTAGTGCTATAAACTCCGGGAACGATCTTTAGATTACAATACCGCTTCAATGAATAAATAAGAATTCTATTTAGTGCATGCTTTGGCCCGAGTAGATAAGAGGCAAAAAGATTACTTTACAAAGAACTCGGGGAAAATTGCAACCACCAACTACCCTGACTTCCCATCCCGATCCCTGCCCCTGCATTCGAGGATATATTTTCCCATCCTCACACCCGCCGGGATTATGTGGGGATGGGGATTCTTGGTGAGAATTCATGTTCCCAATATTAAATATAACCAAATTCAAATACTGAACAAGAATTTTTCAGAAGCCTTTCCCTGTTCAGGAAAAGATCTTTAAATTGATACCATAGCACTTAAGTTCCACCAGCATGAAGGCTCTAGCAAATACACATAAACATGATAAAAAATAAAATGTCTTATATACTAAAGAATCAAACTCCTAAAGGATTTCATAACTCCACACTTGCACCCTAACCCACTCACCCACCCATCATAGCATATGAGCAAACATACATATCCTCAAGAAAATCACATGTTTCAGTAGACAGTATTTGAAAGAAGAGACCGATGTTCAGAAAGTGGGCTGATCCCGACATTTGGCTATTGAATTACCATGATTTACACCCTACAAAATGCTCTGTAGGCCGGGATGTGGGACCTTGGGATTGGGGAACCTTTTGGGAGAAGAAGAAAATCACATGTTTTCTACTAAAGAAGAAAACTCCTAAATTGAAGGAAACTCCTCCAAAAATATACTCAGCCACAATTGTAGCATCCTAGCAATTTATAAATATCCTTGAAATAAAAAGTATACCTTTGCTACTAAAGAATGAAGATGATAAAGGATTTCATAAACATTTTAGGAAATTATGCAAACTTAAACCATAACCCAGTAACCCACTCGCCCAAAATCGTACACCCATCCATAAGTTGAGAAGGAACAGAAATTACCAGTGCCGTCGACCGTCTGCCGTGGACTGCCTGAAGCCGTGAGCGGTGTGCTGGTGTCGCCGGGAGGACTGCCTGACGTTGCTAGGTTGCAGGGCGAGCGCTACTGCCGCTGCAGGTGCCGGTGTAGGCTTAGAGCCGTGCCGCGTGCGTGTATGGCGATTAGGGATTTAATAAAAAAAAAAAAACCGAATGGGAAAATTTTAGGTAACTAATTAGGTCAGATTTTAGATCAATCAAAAAAATAATAATAATAACCAAGGAACTTGTGGTCCGCTGGTAAAAAGTTTGCTTCCCTATGTGAGAGGTGTTGGGTTCGAGCTAGACTATTAAAGGGTCGGTTCTCGGTTAATAGTATCAGAGGCGGACCTACAATGGGGGTAGCTGCCCCCACCCCCACCCCATATATAATCTTTGTATGTATATATGTATATATAGTACAGGATTTAAAATAAGTAAAAGAAAATTGATAGTAGTAAATAATAGAGGTGTTAGATCAGTTGGCAAGATTTGTGTTTAATTATGAGAAGGGCAAGGGTTCGAATCCCCCACCAAACGCTTGGCTTTTATGTTCAGTTATATAATCTTTGTATGTATATATAGTACAGGATTTAAAATAAGTAAAAGAAAATTGACAATAACAAACAATAGTGGTGTTAGATTAGTTGGCAAGAGGCATGTGTAATTATGAGGAGGGAAAGGGTTCGAATCCTTTGCTTATATAACCTTTTTTATTATTATTATTATTATTATTAATGAGATGTGTGATTTATTCGAATTATTTTATCAAATTAATTATGTTTCATATTTTGTTATGAATATTTTTATAAAAGTTTTATGTGTTTTACTTTTCATTTATATCTAACAATATTTATAGCTATACTTTTTTAAGTGTTTCATTTTTTTTCTTCAAACTATCTGTTTTATTTTAATGTTTCGCCCCCACTGGGAAAAATTCCTGGGTCCGCCACTGAATAGTATGCTTGTTGGTTTAAGTCTTAAACTCGGAAAATGATGTGAGGTCAAAGGGTTTTGAGCTCTGATTTGGTAGTTGGTTTAGGCTCGGGGCGAACAAAACCTAATGTTGACGAAGCATTTGCTCGGTCTCCACACTTAGGTCAGGTCGGTCAATCTTAAAGTCAGAGTCAGCAGGTATACAGTACGTATAAAATGTAAAATGTCCGATCGAGCAGGTATACAGTACGTATAAAATGTAAAATGTCCGATCAAAACAACTCTAGAAACCCCTTTTGTAGGGCCTGAATGGAATATAGTGCAGGTTCACTGGTCGAGACGTGGATCACCGTTCGTGTCTCGTCGTCAGACACGTGTCAACAAATTGCTGATCGTCTAGGGATTCGTTCCAATTTTCAAAATTTTCCCACCGCTCACCGACATAAATAGAGCATGGTGGTAGGCCAAATTTACGCTTTCTCTTCTTTGCAAACTCGAGAGCTTCCCGAGCTAGTTGACTTGAACAGGATTTCATACCAAAGCTTAGCATTGCTTCCATCTACACTTCTCGGTAAGAATCCTCTCCCGGTCTCAATTACTTTCCCTACCTTTGCTATTATACTTAGGGTTTATGCACGTCCTGCCTTTTTCATTCTAACATGTCTTCCCCTCCTAAAAAAATGAGACATGTTAACCTTTGACAGCTAAAACACCTCCGTTCAGGACTACGACGATGAGGTTGAGTTCGGATCCTTCGAAGTCTCTTCCTACGACTCGACCCTCCGTGAGGTGGAAGAGTTTTCCAAGGTCCAAGGCACATCTCCAAGTGTCGCAAAGGTTCCCACCGAGGACCGGCTGAGAGAAGTAAGGCTACCCAAACAAGAAGAGGCATTGCCATCCGGACGAACACCAACGGCCCGACACTTTTAAACCCTAAACTATCTTCTTCCCGACCTCATGCTTCTATTCCCCGGGCCACCACTATTGTCCTAGTTTCTTCTTCTACTGGTGGCCCATATCCACAAATTCGAGCTCTCACCTTAACGTGTGGGAAGCATAAATATCTAAGCAGCGAAGCTGTGGAAAAACATCTCCCTTTACTCACCCGCATCGAGCTTGAGGAGATATCCTCCCTTTTAACCGACTGAGTGACGTTTGATACCCGGCGAAACCTAGGGAACATCAAAGAACGACATCGGGGAGAGTGGATCGGGATCCACCTTGACTCCCTCAAAGCTCCTCTAACCTTCCCGTTCTCCCACCTTCTCAACTCCTTCCTTGAATTCTACAGGGTTCTCTCCGGTCAGATCAGTTTGAATTCCCACCGCATTCTGGCATGGTTTCCTCAAATCTATGCCCGACACGATATCCCGTGCACCCTTGAGTTGTTCTGCTTTCTTTTCTCTGTTCGGGCCCTTCCTTCCAAGCACGGGGGGATATGACTGTAAATCGAAGTTACTATCCTCAGCTTCAGGTTCATGAAAGAAATCCAAGTATGGATACATGGTTGGAGATCAGTATGAGCGTGATAAACAACTTTTTTGTACCGTTCGCAAGGTCGGATCATAGATGGGTCCTTTAATAGTCTACTTGTTGGTTTAAGTCTTAAGTTCGGGAAATGACGTGAGGTTTGAGGGTCCCAAGCTCTGGTTTGGTAGGTGAAGATCCCCCCCTTCCCCCCCCCCCCCCCCCCCCCGCGCCCTCCTCCCCACGAAAAAAAATCTCCTCCTTCAACATTAAATGTGATGTTTATAGGGGAAGAAAGAAGACACATGCACGGCTCTCGGTATGCCTGACATCTGTCGCGCATGCAATCGGCTAGCTCGGGAACAACGCCACAATGTCCACGTGTTGCAATATTCCTGATCTTTCACTCTTTAAGTAGTCTTGCTCGGGGCGAACTTTCCGACCTAAGAAGGTCGGGGTCGACCCCAAGGAGGAACAAAAGCCTAATGTTGACGAAGCATTTGCTTGATCTTGACACTTAGGTCAGGTCAGTTAGTTTTAAGTTCGGTCAAGGTTGAGAATAATTCCTCTTGGTGACCTGACTTGATACTGAGCAGGTATACAGTACGTATATGTAGGTATACCCGAGGAATATTCCCTATCAATATATATATGTGGACATGTTTAAGTGAAAACATGTATTTTTGTAAAAAATGCGGGATAATTTCAACCGTCCATCTAGAATTATCGGACAACCAATGGTTAAAACTTAAAAATAAGGGGAAAATGCGGGGACGTTTTTATAACTATTACAAACATTGGATGTGCACTAAATATGTTTAACAGTGCATCACTTGATAGCTAATAGTGCATCAACGGGTAATTAAGAGCGCACTCAAGATCTCAAAAAGTGCACATGTGCTCATTACATTGTAACATATCATTTCATTAAACTTGAGTGTGCGGTTAGTTATCAGTGGATGCACTCTGAAATTTATTTAGTGTTAATAGTGAAAATCGTCTACTAAAATACGAGGTATAAAACTAAGGATTTAAGTCAGGAAGGCTAAGATGATTCAAAGCTTCTCGAGTTCTCTCCCCTCCCTGGTTGAGCAGATCTTGCGGTATAGAGGGGTTTAGGACACATGTCGACACTCCGACATAACTTACACGTGCCTTAAAGGTTGGGTCAATTTTGCCAAGTGTCGCTAAAGGTCTGATTAACACGAAAAGGGTGCAATAAGACATGGGACAAACCTTGATATAGATCACGACGTCATATTGAGTTTGGTATGGGTCAGGGAGTGTGTTTGCAGGCCGCTAACCGGGTGTGGCTAGTAAGTACACACAAGTATTCTCGGCTTTAGGGTTTCTTCCTCAAGTTACCACGGGTCATCCGTGGCTCAGTTGGGGTTGGATCAGGTAGGGGCTTACATAGGGTGATGTATATCCCCATTACTAGTCTCCCTCCCCGCGGTCTCTTGCTTCTTGTCTTGATGATGATGTTGTTATATGGTAAGAAGTGTCACTCTTACCTAGTGTTGCCGAGCTAGTCTGACCATACCCTTGATGACCCAACTACATGTCAATTGTCGCCTAGCCTCAGGAGGCCCCACCCACTCGCTTGGGAAACTGATATACACCAATCAGCTGGCTGTTATGCAGGGCCGACCCTGAGGGCGGGCGAGATGGGCACTCGTCCTGGGCTAACGTCGGGAGGGACCCTCTAACTTGGTCTTTTATCTTTTGATTAAGTTAAAAAAAAATGCTTGCATATGCAAAGATTTGAATCCATGACTCCAAAATTATTTATTAATTTTAAATCTACTTAACAATTACAACCATTTGATATACTTATCTCATCAGTTAATAAATATATATTAACGAACGTTGAATTAGTTTATAGTTACACTTCATATAGGGGCCCAAAGTTTGAATGACATTATTCCAAGGCTATTCTAAAATGTTTTTTTTTTAATAAAAAAATTATATGTTTACAAAAGTTTAAAACTATTATGTAATTATTTTTAATTAACCAATATAATTTTTTAACTTTATATATTAAGGACCCTTGTTTTTATTTTGTGCTGGACCTATAAAATGATAGTACGGCCCTGCTGATATGTTGGAGTGCATTTCTGAGTTGGTACGTGTTTGAGGAAATGACAAGCTGGTCTTCCAACCAGATCAATGAGAAAGTGTGTTGGGAAATGATATTGGTAGGATCTCTTATTACCAACACCTTTCGATAACATTTAAGTAACTTATTAGTGGGTCGAAGAAACTGTGTTATTTTAGCAGTTGGCTAAAAGTATGGCCAACCTCTTTTATCGGCAATCGTTATAACGTGGACTAGGATCCATAGTGCACTTTGGATCCTGATTCAATGCACATAATTTATGTTCATAAATCATAATACACGTACACATGAACACGATATAATGAACATGAATTCTGTGTATTATAGAGCTGAGAACACAAACACTTAACATAATACACAAAATTCATGTTCAGAGACGGAGTCAAAGATTCGGTTGGGAGGGGGGACAAAGAAGTAGGGAATGATTCATATTTTTTTCCAGTAAAGACGAAACATTAAAACAAAAGAGATAATTTTTTTTAAAAAAAAAAATAAACACATCTCATTATTAATATAAAAGAATGTTATATATATGTATGTGTATTAAATATTAAACAGCTATTAAAAACGCGACTATGTTAAAACCATAGGAAATGAGTCAAAAAAAATAAAATGTTAATGTCAAGATTCAAACCCCTATCCTTTATCATAACTCAACATGTGCTCAACCAACTCATCTAAAT